GGTGGCGCCGCAGAGGTCACCGCATCGGCACGGCCGCAGCTCCCCCCGTGCGGGACTAGCCGTGTGCTTCTTTGAAAACGTCATTCCCGAGGAGTCTGGGATGCAGATCATCACGGAGACTTCTAGGGAAAAACGGAGATTGAGGGTTGCGTCTGGTTGCGATTTGGCTCGCTACGTGTTTGGCTCGCTACGTGTCCTCTGGTATTTTCTGGCTCAGAACAGTTCTGGAACGCGGCCGTTATTCCTGGGGCTGTCGAGATGCAGCTGCTTTTCGCCTGGAGTAAACAAAATTTCTTTTGCGCCTTTAAATAATAGCCCCTGGAGGCTAAGTCGTCGTGAAAGGCCCGCTTTACGTTATCTGCGAAAAGACGGAAAGCTGTCAGGAGTTAATCGCGATCATGACTCCCGCGTCAGGAGGGATGAGTTCTGTGCAGCCTGGTCTCTGCCGGTGGGACGGATGTTGAGCGTAAGCAGAATGTGCCAGGCCCGTGATTTCTGGCAAGACAGTGCTCTTTCCAGGGCTACTCTGGAATGTGAATCCTGACTTCGCATGCGGGGACTGTACCACGAGTGTGCTTACACTTGTGTAGGCAAAGTCACTGTGCTTGTCTGGTGCAATAAGCACACGTTGGGTTACAAGTAAAAATAAATTCTAGCTTAAATTACTTCTCCCACAGCATTCATTACAATATACATGAGAATTATATTGTTTCTAGTTGTTTCTGTTAGTGCCAACAGTTTGTCCCTTTTGCCATAGAGCTGCATTTAAGCATACGTGTCAATAAGGACAGGAGATAAAGTCACAGCAGGATGAAAAATCCTAGAGAGGAGGGTAAGACTGGGAGGCCCTGATTTTTGTGCAGTTTTCGATACTGCTAAGACTGGGGATTTTGTCCGTGGTGCTCCGCTAGGCAGGAGCTCAAGCTGAGATACCATCCCAGTTTTGAAGCTTAGTGCCAGTTCAGAATATTCAGATGTTAAGAAAATGTGATTCTTTGACTATGCTGTGTAGACTCATTGCTATGGTGAATTTTGACTTTAATGTGCATTTCAATTATGCTTCTTAAAAACTGTCAGGCGTTCAGAAGGCAATAGTACAAACCTTGGGGATGTGATAGTTGGAAGAACAAAATTCCCCACAGTTTGAGTGGAAGAAGGCCACTAATGCCAAGTAGTTATGGAAACAGTACCTATAGCGTGTAAAGATACTGACCACCCAACGGGTTGTGGAAGTGTTTGACTTTTTGCTTTGCTTTCTTAATCCTTAGCATATCATCTATTTAATTAGTCACCGCCACCTTATTTCAAATGCGTAGTAACCAAGGACTCTGGTTAACCAAGCATATTGTGCAGTAACTTCCCCTCATCCCCAGGTCAGATAGGAGAGCGCAGCGCGCTGCAAAGCACGGCTGTCCTGGGTTTACCTTGTGCTAAAAATACCCACCTGGGGTGTCAGCGCACAGAATGTTAGCAAGCAGCTTGGCAAAGCATTAGTTACTCTTGTTTCGTTTGGATTTTTATACTGGTTTGAGATAGGAAATTTAAAGCGATACGATTTTAAAATGCAGATTGGCTGCAATATTGTTAACTTATAAAGATTCCATTTGTGTAGTAAAATAGCATTTTGTTGTTTTATATTCTTGCAGGTTTCTCGATTGCTAGGTGCTTTCAAAAACCAAAAACAGGTGACCAGAAGTTTTGGTAGTGCTGTGAGTATAATAGTACCATTTTTTTCTTTTTAAGAAGTTTCTCAAGAAAGGGGTTCAGAAATTTGTAAGATTGCTGTGTTATGTTTACTTTCTAAAAAAATAAGGCCTAAATAAGTGAACATATACACTCTTAAGCCATGCTGGATTTACATTGGTTAATTACTGTCTTTGGCAATTGCACATTAAAGTGTAAGTGACAATACAAAAGGCTTTAGTGAAAGCAGTAGCATGAAAACCTTTCAAAAAACGTGAACTTAAGCCAGTCTTCTGAAAGTCATCTGGAAATGGGCAATATTGGGTGAAGTAGAGAGATTGTTGAGAAGCTTCTCATTTTCTTTATTTTGCAGACTTTCCTTTAAGCACTAGATTTACTTTATTGCTGCTTTTGGGATACTGTACGTCTAAAGTTCTGCCTTTTCAAGGCCTTTAAGTATTTTAGACACTGTGTTTTCTTGTAGATGTTCCACCTTTTTATGTGTGTGTGTTTGAAGTGCCCATGGGCCCTTTTTTTCAGTGAGGGCAGCCTTGAAAACTGCTCAGGCAGAAGCAGGGCTGGGCACCACTGCATGTACCCTTGAGAAGGACTAAAGAGGAACTGTGGCTTTTAATTACAAGTTTTGTAGAACAGCTAGAGAAGAAACTGAAGGGTAACACCTATAAAAAGGTTTAGAAGGTGCGGCATTGCTGGTTCTGTTAATACCACATTACTGTTTGAGGTGAAACTTCTCTGGCTTAGGTGGAGTCCTGCTGTGCTGTGAAGCAACAACACAAGACAGCCTAAAACTGAGCTTGAGGCATTCCATCTCAAGCTCTGCTTTTTTTTATTGTGCACAGTGAATTAATTTCTTTGGCTCAGATTAGTTAAAAACATCCGTCAGTAGGTATTGAAATTCTGACTATTTTGTGTGGAGGATGGAAACATCTTGTGAGTTGATTCTGATTGGGGTTTTGCAAATAATGCTCTATCTGAGCTGCTTTTTTTGAGCCCTTACAAAACTGTTGGAAAACTTCCAATAAAACAAAAAGAGCTGAGGCAGGTATGATTAGAATAGCAATCATGATTTTTTTGTTGTTTATCGAAGTGGAGTACTTTCTTCCTCTTATTCGCTGAGCCTGGGCTATGCAATTTATTTCATCCGTTTGAAGATGATAAAAGAAACAAGACTGAGAACATTATGGGAGGAAAATAACTTTGATATTGTTAAAAATGGGTCTGAGATTTCTAGGAAGTCACTTCAGAAATTTAGAAATTTAGATATGTATGAGATTTTTAATTTTTTTTTAAGGTGAACATAGCTTTTCATTATTTTTTTTTCCTAGCATATGTCAGTATTTGAAAACAAGCTAGTCATTCTTGCTTCTGTCCAATGCTGCTATTCATAGAAACTTTTTCTTTTCTGGTAGTTATTATGTTCCTACAACACATGAAAATGTTTTCTACGTAGAAAGCAAGCACGCGTTTGCTGTATTACTGATGTTTCTTTACCTAGGTACAAACAGTAACTTTAATCCCAGGAGATGGCATAGGACCGGAAATTTCTGATGCTGTCATGAAGATCTTTGATGCTGCCAAAGTAAGTCCTGTTTGTCTTGCTCTAAGTTTATCTACAACAATAAGCATTAACTGGGTGCACTAAAATGTTTTCTCTGCAACTTCCAAGAGATCAAGTCTTGTTTAAGCTTATTAAAACTTCTTGACAACAGAAAGAGTCTAAAGCTTCAGCTAATAAAAGATAGGAGTGTGATACCATGTTGCTGATGAAGCAGTCCTGAGCGATGGGTAGAGGATGTTCTTTCTTGCATTGTGAATTCCAGTGCAGACCAAAGTGTGTGAGAAAGGACTGGCTTATTCTTAAAAATCAAACTGCTGCACTGCAAAACACATTCACTCAAGTGACGTGAAAATTAAGTATATGCATGAACTGTTGGGCTGCCTGTCTGAGGCACTTGACCAGAGGTTGTCTGCTTTCCTGGCGAGGAAATACAGCTCTTCAGGAAAGATGCCTGTTCAATTCCTCCATGTTAGTAACAGCACCCAGACTTACTTTCTTCCTATTACAACTATCTCACTTAGATTTTGAAAAAGTGAAGTTCTCTTTAATTATGTATGAAAACCTTATAATAATTTTGTTTGTTTCTGGGGAGTCAAGCCAGGTGGTGGGGAAGAGTAAAACCTCAGTTTGTGTGTGAGTGCATGTTTGCAATCATGATCAGATTTGTTTGTTCTAAAGGGGATTCTCTAGTATGTCATGCTTACATTGGTTCTGTTTGCTTATGAAAGCCCTTTATGTTTTCCTTTATGGTCCTTCCTGATGAAATGAATGGGTGACAGCCTGTCTCCACTTAAAAAATTCCCTGTGGTGAATGCAAATTCAGAAAGCATTGTGCAATTTGCAGATTATCAGTTAGATAACAGATAGGCAGTAGGGATGATGACTTCTCAATGAATTCCATTTTCAAATACCCCTTGTATAGAAGGAACTCAACAGCTCTAAGAATTTGAAAGTAGCTGCACGTATATAGCCGTTCTAACAATTTCTGTGTACATGATGCCCATGGAGGCATCTTGTGCTATTCAAGTTTACTGATAGTTGCTCATGCTATTTCACTTCTGCTTATTTAATTACATTAAAAAAAAAAAAATAAATTTTGAGTTCACACATCTCATGCTTAATCTCACTACCAGAGAAAAATTGTTTAGGAAGGCCTGGACACAATTCCTTATGCATCTTTTTGTGAAAGGGAAGTTAAAACTTGAAGCAAAAGTCATGATATTTATATTAATATAAAGTAAATGTGTTTAGGCTCCTATTCAGTGGGAAGAGAGGAATGTTACAGCCATTCAAGGACCAGGAGGGAAGTGGATGATACCTCCAGATGCCAAAGAATCCATGGATAAAAACAAAATGGGACTAAAAGGTAATTCAGGGGTTAATACAAAGATATTTAAACTATTGGTTTTATTGTGAGTCTGATTTCAAGCCAAGGTCTGTAATCTGTAGCACAATAAAATGGCCAGTTATAGAGGACAGCCTGTCAGGTAGTCCTCTGTAATCTTAAAATCATTACAAAGCCATAACTTTCATAGATCTCATAGGAAGTATGTTAAAGGTGGCTATTACTGTATACCAAACTTGGCAGAATGCATTTCTAATGCACCCGATACAGAATAATACGTTATAACTACACTCCTAACGAATCGTTTCTTTTTACATTGCTGTCACTGAAAACCTCTCGTAAAACTCTTATTCCATGTAAGAGTTGCAATTTGGCCTTTAGACAGCTGATTAATGTTACTGTGTAGTACTCCTGATACCACAGAGAATTCCCATGGCATTTCAGCATAAGGGTTAAATAGGAATTTGGAGATCCTCTGTAAGAGTACCACTTTACCTAGAGTTTCTGTCTAAAATTCATGGAGGGGTTTACTTCCTTTTTTTCCTTCCCTTCAGGGCCTTTAAAGACCCCAATTGCTGCAGGGCACCCATCAATGAATCTGCTTCTGCGTAAAACCTTTGACCTTTATGCAAACGTACGTCCCTGTGTCTCAATTGAAGGGTACAAAACCCCCTATACAGATGTGAACATCGTCACAATTCGGGAGAACACAGAAGGCGAATACAGCGGAATTGAGCATGTGGTATGTTGCTGGAAGTGGTGTGTTTCTGGTGGGTTTTCTGTCTTTCATGAATGATAACTTTGCCCATCTCAAAGTGCTGGTGGCCTAGCAGTAAGAGGTTGGGTGGTGTTTTTTAAGTTTGCTACCCATAAACCAGTTATTTTATTGTGAAATGCACTGTTGAGACGGCCTCACTCAGAATTCTATCGCTTTGTCCCAAACATTCATAATAGTGACTTGAAAAAAGAGCTTGCACTTTTACTACCAATGCAACTACTGTCTTTCAGATTGTTGAAGGTGTTGTGCAAAGTATCAAGCTGATCACAGAAGCAGCTAGCAAACGTATTGCAGAATTTGCTTTTGAGTATGCCAGAAATAATCAGAGAAGTCACGTTACTGCTGTGCACAAGGCAAATATTATGTATGTTGACACTTCTTTTTTGAGAAAAACAACAAATAGTATTATGCATTTAATTATAAATAACTTAAACTTTCTCAAACGCGTAACTTCTGTTGACACTAGTGAGAGTAAGGAAAATGGGCAATAAGTGAAGTAAATGCTTCCTAAGTAAAATGGGCAGTACTGACCCATCGGTATTGATGTCTGTATTGATAGGGCTATAATTACTCGCTAATGTTTTTATTAGTAAGTTTGTAGTAATCCTGTGACTTTCATTGCAAAGCTCTTAATTTGGAAAATAGTCTTAGAGTCAGAAAATTAATTTAAAACCTGAGGATGAAAATGGCTGGTGTCTTTTACCGTTTCCAAGCCACTTCGTACTGTGAGTCATAACATGTGTGATATTACATGACATTAGCTTTACAAACCAGTAAGCCTTTAGTAAATGAATGAGTCATTCTGAGAATTAATGTATGGCTGTTAAACCACTGATACAAAAATATTTTAGGACAAAATCTAAAAGGCATAATTTCTGACTGTTAAATATATTTAAAATATTGATTTGTATTTAATATAAGGGATAATTAGTGACATATTACGTTTCTGCACTGTAGTATTTTTATTTTTTCCTCTGCTGCATGCAGATCTTTTTATCTTCAGTATTGCTTACTTACAATAACTGCAACATTCTTTTGCTTCTTTAATTGCAGGAGAATGTCTGATGGGCTTTTTTTGAGAAAATGTAGGGAGGCAGCAGAAAACTGTAAAGACATTAAATTTAATGAAATGTATCTGGATACTGTGTGTCTGAATGTGAGTATTTATATGTTTTAATTGTGGTTATTGTTAGTTTAAATTCTTAACCTTAATGAAAATATCTGTCTTTCTAGATGGTTCAGGATCCATCACAATTTGATGTGCTTGTTATGCCCAACTTGTATGGTGACATCCTCAGGTATGGAGGTTTTCATTTAAACTAACGCAGCATATACACTGCTGTTACTTTCTGGACAGTTATTCCGGTTATGTGCTAGCCAGATGAGTGACCTACCTGAGCAAAATTCTTCTGCCTTTTTAGGACTTCACATATGAAAAGTAGTTCTGTTGCCTCCTCGGAGGAAGTAAGACTTCTGGATAGTTACAGGGAACTGTGCATTACAATTTTTGCTAGCTTTTGCGACTTCTACAGGTATTCTGTGCTTTGAACCTTTTGTTGTGCCTATGTCTTAATCAGCTTTATTCTAGCATTTGGATTTCCTTTTAATTTTCCTTTACTAAGTTGTCTCCTGCTAGTAGTTCTGCAGATTTTCAAATGTTCCAATGGAGTGTGAGTGGCTAACAGCATCTATTATTTCCCAGTATTATTCTCAGACTGTCTCTATGTCTTATATAAAATAAGTTATTGTGGCAATAAAATGAGAAACAAAAGTATTAATGCCTTACAGAGATGCAACTGCATATGAAAAAAACCTGTGGGTTTTTCTGTTTGGTCATTTGTTTGGGTTTTTTTCAGTGACTTGTGTGCTGGACTGATTGGTGGTCTTGGAGTAACACCGAGTGGAAATATTGGTGCTAACGGAGTTGCCATTTTTGAATCGGTAAGTCTTCTTATGCAAAGTGTAGTAGTAGTAACTACTTTGTCTCAAGAATCTAAAACTTTCCATCATGTACAATGTGGCTGTCAGTTAACTAAGTTCTCTGTAAAACTGTTTTTTACCATGAAGATGCTGAAACTTTACCCAGAGTAGTTAAAGTGTGTATTTCTGATGCCTTTGAACTGAATTGTTCGTTTTTTTTCCCATCTCCTTTCCACTCGCTGTATCACAGCGAAGTAAGTCCTACTTTATCATGCTTGTGCATGAGGACTGTGTTTCAGGTTGCTTCCATACCCTTGAATTGCCTGGGACATGTAAATGAACATGTTGCCGTCATAACAGATAGGTTGATTTTATCTCTAGGTTCATGGAACGGCACCAGACATTGCAGGAAAAGACTTGGCAAATCCAACTGCCCTTCTTCTGAGCGCTGTAATGATGCTGCGTCACATGGGACTACACAAACACGCCACAAAAATTGAGACAGCTTGCTTTGATACAATTAAAGATGGAAAGGTAATGTGAGGGTGTGCGAATAAAGACAATGAATTCAAGTCTTATTCTGTCACAGTAAAAATTACCTTAGAACATCAGCAGTGGGACAGTGGATGAGCTGCTGTGCTGGTCTGATGCATGAGCAGTGCCGCCGTCCTTCCCCGGTAGTAGTCAGGAGGGGTGAAATTAAGTCTGCCCAGCTCAGAAAAAAGGACAGGCTCTAGCATTCCTTGTGCCTCAGTAATGCTCGTCTTACATTTCCACAGCTTTGTTAACTCAAAAAGCTAGGGTAGGATGTCTGCTTTTCATCAAGGGGATTAGAGGTGTAGGTAGGGAGTGGTAATGCACATGTGAAGTTCACAGTGCATACAAAGCATTTCTTTCAAAATCTGGATCCTGATATGAAGGACACATTTCAGTCCTGACTGTAATACTTCTGCTCCTGTTTTTTCAGGTCAGTTGTTGTGGAGTTATTTTTCCTCCTAACTGCTTTCACTCCTTTTGGACTATGAAAGAACAGTTTTTATCCAGTAGTTAGGTTTTCCCTTAAGATTGTATGTGATTTCCCATCGGCAGTAAGTGGCTCTACATTAGAGACTCAAGTGGGATATTCTGGGGAGGGGGTGCTTATGCTCTGAAACCTGATTTGAACTTGTGTTCTTAATGCTCTGAAACCTGATTTGAACTTGTGTTCTTAACATTCCTGGTTAACTCAGCTACTTTGACATCCACCTTTTCAAAACATAGCTGGAAGGATCCTGAAGATTGCAGTTAAAGAGGATTAGCCGTTAGCCATGCTGGTTCAGTTATCTTGGGCAGGAGCATAAGAAGCTGCTTTGTGACAAGCACGCTTAAACAAAACGCTGTCATCATTTCAGAAGTGGCCTGCTTGCAGCTCTCTTGCTGTGTGTAGGAGCCAGTTAAACAAAAAATCTAAACTTACAAATGAATAAAGAGGTGCTCCTGTAAAGTTCCCATTTACTGCTCTGAAAATGAAATCCTCCATCTGCAGGTCAGTAATTCTGTGGAAGATAACATAGTGCAAGTTTTGTAACACGGCTACTTGTTTACTAGTTACTCACAATGTTATGATTATATGCTCACAGTGGAAAGACGACTTTAAAATTGAAAAAAGCATAATGCAGTTAAAGTGACAAGATCCTAAAATAGTAACCCTGTTGCCTCTCATGCTTGCTACTTCTCCCTTTCCCCACCACTTAATTGAGATCTGTGTGTGTCATGTCAGGGGAAAACTAAAGATTTTCAACTGCCTCCTAGACTGCTTTAATCTAGCCAGGTTAGATAAGCAATGCTGCCCACTTTTTACTGCCTTCATGGTGCCAGACAGCAGTTGGACTTGATGAAAAGAGTTTCTTTTAACTCTGCATTTTTCTATATCTTAACAGTTCTTGAAATCTGCTTAGTTGAGTTAACATGAAGCATTAAGAGCTATGTGTGCTTTTTCAGTGTGGGCCTCGTTTAAGAAAATCAACCAAAACCCCAAAACCTTAGTGAGTGACTCTGTTGCCTTTGCACTGAACCTTCATATAAGAATTTTACTTCCATAGGACAAACTTCTTATTGAAAATTTAAATATTTAACGATTAATTACACTATTATGTGGCCAAGGGATTTGGAGAGCTTTGGTCAAATGTACTTTCTTCCTGCAGCTAAGATTAAATCGTGCTGAAATCTGGTAACATAATGCTTGATGTTCACACTTGGGTTTTCTACCTGCTTCAGTCTGCACAGTCCTTACTGATGGTTATATGGGATGTGGAATAACTCAGACTGATGTACTCCCTCTTAGCGCTGCTCAGTATCCACATACAAAATGAACGCAGGGAACAGATTCAAGATACAAGATTAGCCCCATAAGACACCTGAGTAATATTCTGTCTTTCTTTCAGGTCTTGACAAAAGACTTGGGAGGTAATGCCAAATGTTCGGAATTCACAGAGGAGATCTGCCGCAGAGTACGGGACACAGACTAAGCTCTTCTCATACTACTTGTAATAACTCCAGAAGGACACATCACACAAAGTACATTATATGTAACCTGATATCCATATGCATAGAGTTTGCTTGTCTCTTAAGAGAGCAAACTTTTTACTTAGGGCCTCTCCATTAATAAATTTAGCCCGGATGGCTACAAATGATGCTTGTGCCTGCTTTCAGTGGACTTCAAGTGCTTTATTTATTTTTTTTTCTATCTGGTGAACATTTTTATGTAAGTGAATTTTTATTGCCACTGTAACTGTCTACCATTTTCCATTTCAACTGGAGGTTTTTACTTTCCACAAAGAGAAATTATGCAAATAAACCAGTAACTGAATTAGTGAAAAGTAAAAGCACCTTAATGCTTAAAACCTACTTTATTGATGTCACTGAAATTTAAAAGATAGGTTTTCAGCCTACAATAGCACAAGATAACCTTCATAAACGGGTATAAATAACTTAAAATAGCAATTTCATGTTAAAAGCAATGAACAAAATACTTTAGATATTCTGATTCATGAGCTATAGCCTTGCCCTCCAAGGGCACAAATAAAGAAATACAAAATTCTAGAGATTTAATCTGTTTGTGTATTTTTAAAAGGTTCACAACCATTAACCAGCAAGGGATGAGAATTATTGTTTGAGTAAAATTATTTTTCAAATCTATACACCAAAATAATTCTTACAAGTTTTCCTCTCTGAAACAGACTTTACAGTAAAGTTCTAAAGAAAGAAAATTACACAAAATTACTTCTGCCATATATTGAGGGGAAAGTATTAACTTTGCAAATGTATACTGAATGTTTCATGACTTCTGCTCGAATGCTTTGTGTTGTACTTCTATGCATAGTCTGTTCCGTGTGTCTCGGTGTACTGACTAGTAATTTTATCCTAGAAACTCTGAATGTATGGGACTAGTCCTAAGTGGATTAAAGCAGATCGAAGACTTGGCTCTGGTACCTACGTTCCAGAAATACATTTTGCCCCTATTCAGGGGGATCTGAGACTATTTTTTCCCTGCTTAGTAAGGTGAATGGTGCAAGAGCAACTCTATTCCCTCCCTTCTTCATGCCATCAAGGTCATGTGAGTCATTCTGATCTGTAGGTCTTAAGGTATGTATGCTTCCATTCGTACACCCTACAATAAAAGTTGTATTTTCAAAACCACCACTATAGCACAGGATTATCCCTACTGCCAGAACCTGGCTTCTTAAAGCTTAATTCTATTAATAGATATTATTCCACTTAGCTACTTTCTATTAAGACTGTTGAGGCTGGTTGTTTGAGAAGTAAAACCCATTCTGAGTAACAACTTGCAGTGTTGCCCTATAAAGTAAGCATCCCAGCTTTTTTTATACAGCCTAACAGCTTGTTGGAGGAGGGACAATGTGCTCTTTATTCCTCGTGTGCTCTGCTTTTGTTGAATAGGGCAACATTATTTCTTTGTTTTACACGTTGCTGCTTCCTTGTTTCCTTTAGATTAATACTGATTATGAACTTCTGAATGACCATTCATTACGCACAAAATGGGGAAAAATAAACTTTTCAAAGGCCTATTACTTGTTTTGTTTTTATAAACCTAAACTGCTATCTTACCTTATGTGTTGAGCTGATTATTGGTACTTGCAACAAATCTTCAGTCTCTAATATGCAAAGGACTGGTAACGGAACTTTTGTGGGGACAATACCCTATTCTGCATGATTTTTGTAATCAAGAGCAGGAGCTGTAGCCTGCCTGCTTGGGTTAGCTGTAACCTTTAGACAGTTTGTCGAGTATGTCCTTCACATAATACTTTTCCTGTGGGAAGAAGAAATGTACTAATTCGGACAAATGTGAGCTACAGTATGTATACTGAAAAGATACAGTAACAAACATTGCTTTGAAGCTCTTCTGCTTAAAAGTGCTGTAAACAAGTTTGAAGAAATTTCTTCTAGAAAGCACTTCGGTATGAGAGCTTCTGTATGTGCTACTTTGTTTTAGGGAGTTATTCCCCAAGCCTTTTTGAGTATTTGTTTGTAGGAGAAATAGCAATGCTGATTTCAACATGGATTTAAAAAATTATGAGCTGCTCTGTTCACAGACGTCTGAATTCTACCCACTTGATAAAAATGGAAGTGCCTGTAGGTTCTGAAATGTTGTGTTTGTGAACAAAAATAAACTCTTCTCTGGAAGGGGAAAAAATATTTTAATAATCACTGGAGTGATGCAACAGTTTGACAAAGCAGTACTGCTGCCTACAGAGCTAGCAAAATACATTATGAGCTACAGCCACTGTCCTGTAAACAAAAGAATCCCCACAGCTAAAGAGGAAGATCACTGTATAAATTATGTATGGTCAGCCTAGAGGAATTAATTAAAGCAGTTATACCTGCTTTCTACAACAGAAAGATGTTTTTAATCATCATTTAGGTCATAAAGTAAAAACAATACTAGAAAACGGACACACTGTGTAGCTGCTTCTGTAAAAAGAGGACAAATGATCAGGTGAGAATCAGGAACAACTAAATTGACACAGCAGTTTTCTAGTGATTCAGTTCAACAGACTACCAGAACAAGTGTAGATCTTCATTAATGCTTTTGACTTTCTGGAGCTCAGGTCCTTCTTACTGCATGGATGAACACCTTATTCTTCATAGAAGGAATCTACTTCATTTCTGTATTTCTCAAGCACGGTGAGCCGTTTTAACTTCATTGTTGGACCTTAAAAGAGGGAGTTAGTCACAAAAGGAGAAACAGGAACAAAAATTCCTACTCAGTTTGAGCTTTGATTCCTAAGATTTTCTATTCAAGGGCATGTTTGGAAGAACATCTCTGACTCTTAAGTGTCACTACCTGCCTCAAGTGAGAAGCAAGCATAAGGTTGTAAGGCTGTGTCCACATAAACACGAGGACTTCAGAGGAAGCTGCAGATTAAGAGGGTGATGACTGATGACTCCTACTTTTTTCATTAATTAAAAAGATGATGGTTTTGAAAGCTTTTAAACAATTCCCAGTTTATTCAAAGAGCCTGGTAATGTGCTTGGAGTTCTGTTGTCAGGCTTTCACTCTCTCTTTTTTAAACTAGAAATTTTCAGTATTATTACTGGAGTTATTAATACTGTAATGCACAAGTAATTAATTAGAATTGTTTAATTGCCCAAAAGAAATCTGAAATGTAACTATAGAACTGTACTTGTAAAAGAGCACAGATTGATACATACATAGCAAAACTATAATTTTTATATTCTTTAACACTGCTGCATAACCCTTTCTTTCTTTCCCTCTAGTTGCTGTACCCAGAATTTGGCATACAAAACTCTATTTGAATACTTTTAGATCAGCAGCCTCTTTACGGTGTGTATACCTCAGTATAAATTAGCACATCTTACCTAATTCTCCCCCAGAAATGGAAAAATCTCTTGGCAGGACTATCCATTTTTGAATACAATGAACCCTATTAGTAGCATTCATGTTGACTTTGTCGATTCCCTCCTGAATGGCCCGGTAGATCGCCTGGTCTCTTGTAGCTACAATCTCTGATACTTTAGTGGCTTTACTACCAATCTTCTGGCAGAAGTCTCTAGCTTGCTCAGTGAGAACATCAGTGGGATCAGATGTATCTGGGTCCAGCACGCTCTAAAATACCAAGTGAAGTCAATCATCAAGTGCTCACCCTGACAAGGCATTAAACGTTTCTCTGATCAGGTCCTCCCTAACTAGTAAGATATAAAGAAGGCTCAGCATCACACCCAGGAATTCTGCAAGCCTTAAAAAGCAGAAATGCTTACAGATGATAGGGTTTTTCTTTCCACTCGGCTACCAAGTACAAGTATTGTTCATGTCATCTGCATATAAGCCAGACTTAAAACATGTCAATGTTAGGCAATAAAGTCCCTCTAGAGACCTTGAGTTTCTACCATATTTTCCAAATTGCTCCATTGTTACAGGGGAACATTTAGCTCATCATTAAATTGTATTACTGTGGTGTGATGTAAGCAGTTTGAGGTAGAAGTATTCTTTGAAGTTAGACTTCTTAAATTTGTATTTCTACTGTACTTGTAGACGGGAAGTATCAGCTGTAAACAACTTGAAAAACTAAAGGGTCTTTCATTGTGTGTGTACACAGGCTATGAAGTACAAATGTTTCAGAAAACAATTTTCTCAGTTGACGTGTCTACCACAGTAAAGCTATCAACTATTTTGTTGTGCAAGTATCCTTCTTGTGTTATATAAAGAGAACAAATTGTAGAGATGTGTTTTTGTTCGAGTTTATGTTAGAAGCTGGGTTTGCCCATAACACAATAATTTGTTACCTTTGATCATCTGTAAGAATAAAGCTAATACTGTGCTCCAATACAGACTTCTCACTCTCAAAATTTGCATTTAAACACAAAAATAGGTCTTACTATATGTATAGCAGAAACAGCAGTAAACACACAGATGTTTAGCAGATCATCTAACCATAATAAGTTAGGCCATCAGGATTTGGCCTGTAGTTGCTATATGTTTTTTTCGCCTGCTAGCATCCTCTCGTTTTGTTTAGGTGCAGGTGTGTAATTTCACTAAAATCACTATTAAGACTGGTGTACCTTTAGGGTCAGCAACATTGCCAAAAACTTCTTTTTATCTCCAATCACCATAGCATTACTAACAATGGGGAGCTCTTTTTTAACAGCATCTTCAATTGGAATTGGAGGTACGTTTTCACCTCCAGCTGTAATAATCAAATCTAGGCAAAAAAAGAAAGGCTGTTAGTTGAATTCCAATAAATTCCAAACGTCAGGTTAATGTCTGGATTGACTCACTTCTCTTATTTTGACATAAAGAATAAGGGAGATTTTTTTTTTCCAAATATGTTGTTTTCAAAGAGAACAAAGCCTATTAATTATCTTGAAATTAACAGTGCTAGTATTTTTCAAATATGTGCTCAAGTTCTCAGTTCTCCCTCAGTATAACATATTTGCTCCAGTTCATTTTTAATAAATCCACTAAACAGGTTAGTTATTCTCAAGGCACTGTTGCATAATCTAGAGTTCCCTGTGAGCAGTAGTCTCTTCCAAATTAGCATAGGATTCACTCTGTTTACTGTTGCTATCTCACCAAAAAGCAGGACCATTGTTATCATGATTAAACTTAATGCTTAAAGCCACCAAGAGGGGTCAGGCAAAACCAAGTTACTACTGCAGGAAGGCTCCATACAAGCAACATGGAAAGGAGAGAGGAGTGCGAGGAGGAAGTTAATATGTAAGAGAGGAAGTTTGCAGGGGAAGTAGTGATTCCTGATCTACTTTTGACAAGCGTGGAATATAATGACAGACTGGAATCTTAATATTTTTAAGGTTTGTAAGCAATGGTAGTGATAATTGGCAAAGGAATGTGCATGTTTATTTGAATGAATTCTTTCTGAGGTATATATATATATATTTCTGAAGTATACAGATATATTCATTGAAATTATTACAAATTTGAGTATTAACTACATAAATTCCAACTCTGTTTTCATTACATTGGTGACTTCTCACTGTCCTGAAATAATAGTCTTTGCAGCATTTCAGAACATGCTTCAAAAAATAATGCAGACACATGGTATATCAGTCCTTTGGGTAATAATGCAGCTGATTGTATGTATTAAGGATTGGGTTGGTACCTGATTCCCTGTCACTGATAAACTGGAAGAATTTAGATGCAACAAGGGGCATACAGCACCCTTCTGGCATTCACAGGTTTGGGCCCTACCATCTCTACTGCTTCACGAGAACTGTGATGAGAAATACATTCCAGTCTATACTCAACCTTCTGGTATGGAATAGGCATTGATCTCATAACTATAAAGTTATTTCTCTCCCTAGTCAACACACTGCACGCATTTGAGGACGCACAATTAGTGTTCATAGAATGAGAGCCTTCTGGCAAACCACAGGCACACACCAAAGTGTATCCAAACTTCTAAGAGGTCTTCTTTCCACACACACACCCACACACACACACACACCCATCCTTTTGCCTTAGTCCTATCTTTGTCTTAGATTCTCTACCAATCACTCTGGCACTTATTTTTCATTGTCTGAGATGTCAGCTTTTTCCCAGCTGATCCAGACAACTAGTAACTGTAGCAACTTTTTACACGTCCCTACAAATACAACCCCTGTGCAGACTTCTCTAGCTAGATCTTTGTGCTTTGCAGCCAATGAGTTCTAAAACTCATAAGACCCACAGAACTAAAGGAAGAAATTCTGTTTCAGTCACTAGAATAAAAGCTTTATTACCTTCTATGAGGTTTTACCTTATTTGGACTTGGATTTAAAACTTGCATGAAACTGGACAGACAGCTATTCTATCCCAGATGATGTACCTGTCCTGTAATTTAGAGTAGTTATTAGTTCAGCAGTCAAAAGAAGAGTTAAGTGAAACACAAATGTTATGACAGAATGAGACTAGGAGTTGCTAACTGCTATGCTAAAGGAAAATGAATCACACAAGAAAGCAAGTTAGAAATCAAGATAGCTGCATTTGGTGCAGACTAATAATAGCATCTACTTTGAAGTCCTAATTCCTAACAGGACACTATGTCATCCTATGACAAATTTCCTCATCTGTGTTATCTCCCTAGTGATTCATCTGATATTCCAAGATGATAGTTTTTAAATATTCTTCAGTTACATCTCGACTGCAACCAGTCGAACTCTCTGAACTTGTGAAAAAAAGCTACTATGCAAGCGACCAGTCTTACTCACATGAGACTTCAAGCTGTGTACTGTACTAATACCTAGGTTTATTGCTTAAGCTTCAACTTTCTATTCTGCTCTCAAGCTTCAATACTAGCCTCTGCAAACACATCACCTAAGGCATCAGAGGAACCTAGCTCTGACCTACAGCAACAACTTTTATATAACAGAGGCTTTGTCTCTCATCACTGTCTAAACACTCTAATATGCAATTAAGACAATTTAGCAGGATTCAAAGGGAGACTGGACAGCTTAATGGATCATCAGAATCAAAGACGACACATTGAACCGGCATTATTATTTTATATTATTAATTGTAATTAATATTGAATAAAGGTCTGGAAAATAAAAAGCCTCATTGTAGGAACTGAATCATGTCCACCTATCACAGACTAGAGAGAAACCTTTCCTGAACAGGGTACACCATTGTTTCCTCATAGGAAAGTTCATTTTACCTTCCTACTAGGCCAGTGCTGCTGGCATTAGAAGACAGACACTTAATTAGATGGGCCACATGTGACTGAACAGTGCTGAACAGTTACCATAAACATGGAGAGAGATTCTGCTTATTACCTTTAATTCTTCCTGTGACATAGAGAAAGCCATCCTTGTCTAGCTTTCCTAAGTCTCCAGAATGCAGCCACCCGTCCTCATCAAAGGCTTCTTTTGTTTTGTCTTCCATATTTAAATAACCCATGAAAACAGTCCTTCCCCAGAAACAGATTTCTCCATTGCCTTCTATATCTTCGTCCACCAATTTCACTCTGCAGCCAGGTACTGGTTTACCACAGCTATTGAAGAAGAGCAGAAAACACCACAAGGAGCAGAGAAATATTAAACATAATACCGGTAAGACATCTGACATGCCAAATCCCTGAAATCTATCTATCTTGCCCTTCTGGATTTTTTCCCCCCTCTGTGTCTTCAGGCATAAAACCACTCTCGCATTTGAAAGCTATCCTGCCCCGGGCCAGGACTAGGATATACGTCAGACGTAGTAACTCTCTTCTGCGTATAGTGCTATAGATCACTTTCAGTGCTCTTGGTGCACCGTGCTACGTAGGCAACGCATTCAGCTGACCTGGAAGTTCTTCTGACCTAGAAGTTACTTTGCCTCCCAAAGACACAAGAGAGTGGCAATGCATTGAGAGAAAATAAAATAAGCAGTAAGATGTTCGCTGAACTCAGCAAATACTCTTATCATAGATATAATAAAACATACCCTACTTAAAAAAAATTAAAAAGTGAAGTACCTGTGCTGCCTGTAAATATAGGGCCCAGACAGGCAATGTGGGCCTGTGGTCTCACTCATCCCGTAGGCCTCATACAGGGTGATGTTCAGTCCCAAGAAGAAATACAGTGTTTCCGTATTGAGAGGAGCAGCACCAGAAAAGTGCTTCTGGCAGGAAGAAAAACCCAGAGCCCTGCGTATTTTTGCAAGCACTAGGTAGTCTGCTAACCTCATCCAGAACTGCTTTAAATCACTGTTGAGTACAAAACACACAAGAGAAGGAGACAGTAAGTCAGAAATTCCCAAAACAAAATCAGACACAAATTTTGTTTAGAGAGATTTTCCATTTGTTTTTAGGTGTTCACAGAAGTTACATCAGTAAGAACAGGTTATGTATTGGTTTTTTTTCATTTATTCAGTGTCATTCATTGCTAGTGAACTCCAACTCTGAAGATCTCTGAATACTGCAAATACATTTTAAGAAAATGTACAAAAACACACTGTATAAAACAAACCTCTTGTATATTCCTGATTGTGTCTCTGAGAACCCTTGCCACTAAAATCTGAAATTTGCAGGACCTAACTGAGAAGCTGAATGATCATGCAAGCAAAGCAGTGTAATTGCACAATCTTTTGGAATACCATTTTCTGTAAGTAATTTCACACTTCATTGTGTCACGCTTTAAAGAACTCTGGAACAGGAAAAAATCGTGAATTAAGTTAATATTTGGATATAAACAACATGCTTTGTCTGGGCAATCTTATGGAGAAAAAGACCGATGTTATTCAGAACAGAGGTAACATACTTGGAGCTCAGAATTTGCCAGGAGCATCCTGGAGTTTGTGTGGAGAGGGGATGTTCTTACTCATATAGTGCATATCCCAAACTGGCATGAAACAGTCTCTCTGGGCTGTCCACCCAAATTTGCCCCCTCTCATATACCTCCTTCAAATTCATGTCCTTTCCTCACACCAGTAACTAGTGCCTGCACAGCCATGTGGTACTCTGAATCAGGGAACCCTCCCAATCAAAAAGGAACCTGTTCAGGTCAGAGACGATACAGAGTTGGGGGACATGTTCTTGAGAGTATCTTCTCAGGGAGGATGTAGGGACACTTCTAGCAGTCACCTGTGTTTAAGATCAGCCTACTTGTCATAACTGATAACTCCACCTTCCCTCATGCATTATATTTGCTGTGTTACCAGGCCAAACTTTACCCATTTACACTTAGAGCCTCACTGATGCGTCATAGTTTATCACAAGCAGACAGCTACTGTGAGGTTGACGGAAATCTCTCTCATTATAATACATACCTGCTTGAGCAGTTTAGGTTTCTCTCTAAGCTAAGTGACATAGCCCATGACAGCATTTTCTTCTTCATAAATCCTGACAGAGCAAAAGCATCCTTTAATTTCTCCATGATTTTCTCCCATACTCGGGGAACTCCCATGTGAGAAGTTGGCTGCACTTCTTTTAGTGTGTTGATCAAGCTGCCCTGTTAAAATCATTAAATCATTTCAAAACATTGCAAAAGGTCCACAGCAGTGATGAAGTTTGGTGATGCAGCCTGCATCTTGCAATACTAGCATGTAGAACCTCACTAACCATGTAGGATGTAAAGAAGGACTGCTGAAGCTACTTCAGTCAGACATACGCACTACCATGTGTCAGCTCTGCTGCATCAGGTGAGGACTGTGTACAATAAGGAAAAGACACTGGTGGTTCAGTTCCCTCTGTCTCCCTTTCCTCCAAATATTGCTTATACTTCTTTTGCTTTAGGTGTAGACTCTGCCTAAATAGAAGCTTATGGATCTGGATTATATATTTTAATTGGAGTCTAGAGCACTGAATCACAAATCTAATTAATTTTATTTGTCCGTAATTCTTACCCTAATGGACTCTCAATCTCTATCCTCTGCACCTATTCAAAGATCATATTCGTTCCTTGGGATGTTTTCTACGAGGAAGTGCAACCTTAAATAGGGACAATTCAAGACAGATACCTTCAGAGCATCTGGCTCAGCAAAGTAAACTTGCTCTCCCCATTTGATTCCAGTCCACAGGTCATAGATCTGCGCAGCTATGTGGCTGAGTGGGAGATAGCTGACTATAGACTCCTGTTGGATCTCTGCAGGTTGCATATCTCCTGCTCTGCTGCAATGTGCTGATGTCCAAGTTATCTGTTTAAATAAATAATAAAACACATTAAGTATGGTGTGGGTTTGGGGTTTTTTTTCCCTTTTAACACAAACTAAGGATTGTCATGCTATGCTAACCTAACTCTGAAGAACCTGTGTTCATAGAAATTGCTGAAGACATTGCCATCTTTGACAACACACCAGACTGTCAGTTCTTTGGTGAAAACTCAGTAAAAAGCAAGATGAACTTGACAGTAACACAGACTTGCAGATAACATAAGCAAATGCAGTCTTTCTGCTGCCTGCCTGGGCCGTGAATGCTACCAACTCCCCGCATGCTGGTGACACACTGAGCAGGGCACCCATGGGCTGAATGGACAAGGAGCAAAATTGATACGCCCCTTCTTTTGCAACTCTCCTAACGTGCATACTTTCTATCAAGCGGGCACTTTTCATCAGTGCTATGTCTGTAAGTTCACCTGAAAGAGAACAGTAAGTAATCAGTGATCTCAAAGGACACTTCAGTATTAGCAACAAGCTCATTGTCTTGTATTGATCTTCACCTGGCTACGCTTGACTTCGTAGCGAAACTGGATGTTTCCCTCTCTTCTTTCTATTTCCCACTTCATATCAGAAGACGCAGTTCAAGGGTGCTAAATATGTATGTCTTCATTATCAGAATATAGTGTACAGAAGACCCACAAATACATGTGATGGTATGAAGGGGGGAGGGAAAAGATATATGTGTACGGGAAGAAAAAAAAAACCCAAACCCCACACCGAGAACAACCAGCTCTTTCTCAGAGGAGTTTAATCTACAATAGGTAGGGCAGGATACAGAAATTAGAATATTCAAGATGGCAAGGAAGAGATACAAATCACATGCATTACCTGTTATCACACTATATTCCTGCCAGCTCCTTTTCTTTGTAATAAATGAGAAGGTATGAGTGTACGTTTGGTCTAAGGAAATACAGATTCTCAAGAAAGGTTTTTAAGGAGCAGAATGCTGTCAGACCAGGCCACTCCAAGTTTAGATGGCAGCATTGGACAAGTGGCTATGGGAGGCTTACACAGTAGGCAGCATTGGATGTCTCTGAGATGTGGCTATAGTGACTGCCTACCCTCCTCGTCCTCCAAGCCTCGCAGCACACAGGCACACTCACAGCAGATCTGTCTGGGTGCATATATGACTGCCTCAGCATTGGTTTTGCACATGGACAGTGGAAAACATCTTTTGACTAAAGAAGGCAGTAGCACAGCTAGAGGCAAGGCATGTTTTCCACTGTACATCAACATAAAAATAGCTTGTTTGGGATCAGCAGCCAGGAATAGTTTGGCAGCTAACATGGAAATGACACCAGACTCCTTTGAGGTGGAAGAGCATAGGATTTGCAACGTCACATCAGTCTTTGTCTACCAAGTCCACTATGCTCTGCTTCCAGATACTACTGCACTGATTCCCTACATTTGGGTGAATTGCTCCTCACAGTGTGTATGTCCACAATAGTTTCTGCTTTATTTTAAGAGGAGAGGCCACAACTTACACCAGCCCTTTCACAGATTGTCTACATGTTCACAAAGTCTCCCTACCACTTTCCACTCTGGCTCAGACACCTTACAAATAAATATATATTTAAAAGCCCCAAACAAGTCTGTTTCAGATCTTTGCTAGCAGACCTCAGTGGCAAGTTCTTTTTGTAAATGACTTTACTTTTCTCTATCAGCAGAAATTTTCTGTTCACAACAATGTGGGTAGGGCTACTGTAAGTAACAGCACCATGCACGAGAGTTGTATTATACTCCAGTAGTAGATGTAGAAACCCAAGTCTAGGAATACAATAATGCCAAAGTAAAAGTAAAAAAACCCAACACACATCCACCGCCAATTTTAATAAAAGTTGCAAAAGTGTCCATCAGGCTGTTTTGATAGTGGCTGGCAGATGTATACAATTTGTTTGTTGTAAGATGATCTGTGACATCACATGAAAGACTTTATGGCAATTATATTTATGAATATATGCATTATGTCTCACAAGAAAACCAGTGAATAAAAAATTCATATACATATTTAACTCTTCAATTGTGTGAAGGTTTCATGCTTTACCTTGCGTATACTTTACCAGAAACAGGTGACCGCATTTTGAATACTGCTTTGTAGGACTCTATCCATGCTGTAAAAGCCGAAGGATTTCAAAGCTCTAGTAGGTACCAGTCATTTCAAAACACAGGAATAAATATCCTCATCCTTTTCTATTTTTATACTAAAAGGAAGAGCCTAAAGTACATACATTGTCATGACTCAGCATGGCTCCTTTTGGCTTCCCAGTTGTGCCGGATGTGTATATTAGTACACAGCATTGATTCGGCTTTTGGGAGTTAATAATATCATCCAAAGTAGTATCAGATATGTCATCTCCCAACTCCAGAAACTCTTCCATCTGGAACATGTAACAGAAAATACGGGATTATCAAGTGGCTTCTTACAAGTGGGAAAGATGCAGTACCTTAGCAGCCTCAGAAATGGCAGAAAACTTCAGTGCCTTGCTCTGAACATGTTCCCAAGGCATGTTTCCTCAGGTCTTCCTTATGTAAGAAATATTAGAGTAGATTAGAATTTATGTGCTAATTGTAATGAGACTATCTAAATTTGTGCTGCCACAAGTCTTTTCAGTGTCTAAGAAGAGAATGGTAATGCTATTCCTGCTCCAAGATGGATACTATGAACAAGTCATAGAGGCTAAAATTCTGTAGCAATCCCCCACTGTTAGAAAGACTTTTAGTCTTACTTGAAGGAATCTGAATGTACTGTTTTAAGCAGGAGTACACTTGTGACATTCCATCTATAATTCTTTGTCCTCTATATAAAAAAAAAAATATAAACATAAAGCAGTTGGATGAAAGCTTCTTTGCAAAAGCATCATTATCTCAATGTGTGAATGTTTGCCCAAATTATCCACTATTTTATAGCAAATGGAGCACATGATGCAGGTCACAACTTCCATTCAAGTTTGTCTCAATCCAGAATGAGCTAAAGCTTTTATGATGCTGGACTTTTGTGCCACACAGATTGGCCCAGCAGAACGCTGAACCTGATCCTCTACATTATATTGGTTGTTCCCAGACACTTCTATTGCATGCACCTGCTATGTGCACCTACGTGTACCATTGATTGCAACACTAATTGAAAACTAGGGTGTAACAAGTTTTTTAAAGAAAGTCAATAACCAAACTCTCAGTTTCCCACTGGAATCAGATGATTCACACTGTGCTACAGAACTGCGTTATGCAAATGCAAGATGCAGCACCTTCATTCTTCAGTGATTTCTTGGGGATGTATCTAGGACTACAAGCAGTAAAGGAGATGATGTGAAGGAAAGCAGAGGTAAAAAGACAGTCTCTGCTTGAGGGGGAGTTCATTGTTTCCTTCAAACCTCTGCCATTGCCACTGTGCTCCTAAGGTTACAATGGTTAGCCTCTCTGGCACCTAGACTACCTTTTCTTGTGGCAAGGCTGTCCTAATGATTCTTCTAATTACCAGTCTTCAGCTTTATACTTTCTTCCAACAAACCACACCTCTGAAAAGAGAGGCAGTACAATGCACAGCTCTGTACCAAGTAGAGGATTTGTCACACTCTATCCCTTCCCACAGAATGTGGCTGCATCCATTTCACTAGCTTCCGGAAAGCCCATAAGTGTCAAGGATTTAATTGTTTCTGACTTAACAGTTATTCCGGTTTCCTGACCTTACTGTCTCCTCATACTAGAATGCGTTAATCACTGTGAATCTGTTGCCTGGGCTTTGTTTATTGAACAGTACCTGCAACAGACAGTGTCCCCATTCCACAGGGGATGAAAGGTACAAAGAGTCACGCACAGTACTGACTTTGCCTTCTGGAAACATGCACTGATCAGAAAACTAGGGCTCTGTCCTTACTGCAGCAATTGCTCGTTACATGTTAGCTGTCAACTCACAACACAAACCCCTTTTATCAAATGCCAGGTGGTTCACTTTACATCAAAGCTAATAAACAATCACTTCTACCTTTGGTGATTCGATCTCCGATTTTTCCTTCGGATGACAAACTATGGTAACTGACTGTCAGACACTCTCATAACTACCCTTCTCCATTGAGAAAAACTGTCCCAGATGACACTCGAGCAGGGGTGTTTTCAAATACATAAAGTCTCAGGCATTTTGGTTTCAGCAACTGAATGTTGTTCCAGAATTAACTGCTAGCACCTTCTCTTTTTTACTAAGAAATACAAATAGTAAGATCATCTTTGTATTCATTTTTTATTGTACTGAGATACAAGGCATATTCTATACCAGTACCTACAGTTTTGTAACAGCAACTGCTCATTGCTTATATGCTATTAAACATAGCAAGAGAAGATGTGATTAACTAGTACTGAAGATTTTTTCTTGTGTTCTTAGTAATGACTTAAATCATTAAAATTGCAAATATTTTAATATATTTCTATATTGTTCACACTTCATTAAGATATTTTTATTTCCTCCCAGTTGAAGTTTTCGGCCTAGAATCTGATAATCTGTAGTCCACTTAAAATGCTGATTTTTGTATTCTTAACTAATTTCAATTCTATTTTAAAAATATATTCGTTTACAAAAATCTCTTCTGCTTCAAGTCCTCATATTTCTTAAATTAAAGGCTGGACTTCTACCACTCTGATCCTGGCTTTGTCCTTTTTTCTGCTATATTTTTAAGATGTGATATGAAGATTCTACATATACTAAGAAAACGTGCTCCTCTGTGTAGTCTGTAGTTCTTTCTTTTCACTTGTTGCCTACCACCAGAAATATTTGGTGCAAACAAAACGCAACTAGCATTGTACAAGCATTTTCATATTCTTGGATCCAGTGTAACTAATCACAATTCAGTTTTCACTAGCACCAGTGGACAACTTTTTTTAACAGTCTGAGAGTACACATTCCCACCTGAAGCCTACAGGTGTTTTGTTAATCCAGGCGGGTAAACAGCCAGGAAGACACAAGACAGACAGTTAAGCAATGTAGCTCTAATTTTAAATGTCAACTATCAAACATTAAGTTTCAGGTAAATTAAACAGAAAAAAGCTGATGCAGTTTTTGACTGTGTTAACTGGAACACAGCAATGCATTCTAAATAGTAGCCAGTTCACCAAGGAAACACAGTAGAAATGAATCAATAAAACCCCATGAATTATAACCCTGTTCTAGCATTCACATACCGTATACAGATTCGGGTATCTCTCTGGAATGGAGTCCTTATATAGCACAACAGCTTTCAAGTGCGGCAAGCGATTCCAAATCTGTTGGATTTTTTTAAGGCAAATTTATTATTTATTATTCATATCTTGCGTGGGATTTTCCCACTAAAATACTGCCAAAACTGGCTTGACAGTCTCAATAAACCTCCTGTTTCCCTCCACCCTCAAATATTCTCCCCCACACTCACAACCAGCTAGCTTAACAAGGGGCAGGGGAGGGCAGGAGAGGAAAAAAAGGAGACGCTATACAGTCTGCTCTAGAAAATCTGTTTGCAGTCAAAAGATTAAAAACCAAACAAAAAACACCAGAAATGGCTCCTCAGCATCCTTTCTCATAATGCACCAAAAGGCACATCAAGGAACAGTCCATGTCAAGCTAGAAGCTGAACCTAGCTGCTGTGGTTACGGATAAAGATCTAGGAATTTCCTCAGCAAAAACTGTTGTTAAACTGCTAAAAAAATAAAAAGGAAGCCATATGCACATTAATAAGGATAAATATATAAAGCTGCAGAGTTAAAGGCAGACAGCAGTGGCTGCTGGTTTAGTAGCTCTTTCTGCTTTGCACGGCCTGCAGAAAGCATTCATGCCACTGAACTGTGTGGGACCCAGTGCCTCATAGGTGCCTTGGAATTAATCACATTTTAAACTGACTTGATCAATCTGCACTAACACAAAAACAGTGGCTTGATGGTAGCCATTAAGTATGTATTGTTAGAAGGATAGCAATTGAAATGTTATTATTTCAGTCTTGGTTTCTTCCAGAAAAAAATGTTTCAAAAAACCTGTCAGCTGGGTAAAGTAGTGCTGGGCAGATGTCCTGCCTTTTTCTAGACAGAAATATGTAGGAATCAAACCCCTCAAGTTCTTCCATTTATATTCTTCTCTCCACATTCATGACAGCACAGCCTAGTGTTTAGTCAATGAGTCAGCAAAAAGGCTTGTCTGATAGTATGTTTTTTCCAGAATACTAAACAGGATGGAGTGGTGACATTATAAACAGAGAATCAAAACATGAGTATTTTCCAGGTAAGTTTGCAGTGAACCCACAAGCTCTCTGCTGAAGAGAATCAGAACTGCTTAGATGTGAACCACAGACACCACGGAGAACAGAGCTGCAAGTTACCCAATAGCTCAATCACCAGATACCAGATGCCCAAATCAGAACACTGCCATGAAGGGTTTCATAATCATGAATACGGCATTTGGGACTCATACAGGATTGAGAAAAGGAAAATGTACAGCTTTTAAATAACCATTCAGCCACCTTGTACCTGCATTATCTTGTCCAATTGTTTCCGATTTTCCACAACCATAATATTGGTTTTGCTGTCATAAGCAATGTAGTGGCAGGCCTCTGGAGAATTGGTTGTATATATTCCTGTGACAATTCCTCTGTATCAAAAATTATATATATATAAAACCCATGTATTTATATACATACACACACATACATGCACTTAGTATCAAAAAAGAATTATGATAAAAGATCACATGAAAGCTGAGAGTACAAAGATGTGGAAGCAAACAGCAGCACAGCTGTCATGCTTGTTTCAAGTACTCAGATATACACTAATATCTCTGATATATGCACACTGCAAAAATTAATCTCTGAGCTCTAGGCTAGGATTCAGCATTTTAACCCACTACACAAGAGTTAGCTCAGGAAGTGGTAAAAACCACTTACGGCCTTTCTGTTCAAGCTGCACACAGATACCAGTTTGAGTTTGATACAGAAACAGCTTAAGATGTAAAATCCAAATCATACAAACAGGGTTCAGGACAGAAGGAATCAGGCTAGTTATTATCTGTCACGTCATCTACTTGAACATATCCTGCTGTAGACAAGTATCATGAACATAAAACTGGGAGTCTCATCTGCTTCCCACATCTCCCAGTGATAAGATACTGTACAATAGCTTCTGTTTGACTGTCACAAGTCCACAGCAAACAGGATCCATTTATGAGTGTCTGGACAATTTCGGATATACTAGGAAAGCTAGGACACTCCAGCAGGCCACTGAACATGCTGATCAGCTGCACCACAAATTCCAAGAAATGACAGCAAATACTGATCTCCTACATTTCCAGACCTAGCAAAACAGATATCCCGAAAACCCTCACAAAATGAAAGAAACAAAAAGAAAAAGATCTTACCCAGCAAAAACCGCTCCAACTGCTGAGATAAACCATTCTGGAGAATTGAATCCAAGGATTGCTACACTGTGGAATCGTTCAAGACCAAGCTTAAAAATAATAAGCATAAGGTTATATAATATAGGCACACTGGAGAGAAACATAGAGCATGAAACACACGTAGAAATATAAAACATGGAAAGTTTTGATTATTTTTTATTTCGGTATTGATGTGTTCATGCTGATATCCATAGTAAAACGAGTATTTGTCAGCAATTAACATGAGCTCAGCTTCCCACTACTCTCTGTCTAGCTGAGCTCTGCTGTACAGAAAGGCCCGAAAACCATAACTTTTCAATATGAACAAGATAATAATGAGTACTAATCTTACCCTATGTTTAGAATGTTTTAAAATTTGTCTTTATCTCACCAAAATCATGACAGTGCCACTTTGATATATCTTCCTTTTTTTATTCTTAAGGCCTTACACTGAGCTTTGTACCCATCCCATGCCCCAGTGAGACAGTGTAACACAGCAGCTCTTCACTTGCTGTCAAGTTCCCTTGACAGAAATTACCTCTTTCACCAAAACCAATTTTCATAATTATTATTTCAATAAAGAATATGACTGCTGATCTTCAGTTAATAGGAAAAGCCTCTTATATTGTTGTTTTGGTGTTGTGGGTTTTTTTGGGGGGGTTGGTAGTGGTGTGTTTGTGGTTTTTGTGGCTTTGGGTTTTTTAAGGAGATAGAAGGGGAGAAGAAGGAATTGGGTGTGTTTGTGGCACCTACCTTCAAGAAGCTCTTGGCTGCCTTCCTGGAGAGGCAATAATACTCTGAAAAAGTTACCTTCTCCCACTTTCCATTCTTTTTGCTGGCCAAAGCATTAAGGGATCCATATTTTTCTAGGCTCTCCTTGAACATTTGATGAACTGTTATGGGAGCCTGTGGACATGAGTTATCTATTCTCAGTCTGACTCTGCCATCAGCAAAGGAAGTCCACAGACACTCTGGAAAGTAAAGCATTATTATCAAAGTATTCTATCACTGAAAAATTCCATGTGGCTGTGTACCAAAAGACAAGAGGATTGAATAAATGCTGCAGGGCTAAGCACAACCCTGGCACTTCCCACCTTCTGAGAGAAGGGCTTTCCAATTCTGTAACTGTCAAATATTCCATGTAAAAAGAGAATCTTGATTTCTTACTCTTTGTTCTGCCACACAGAACTATGGCGATCTTTTACATGTTACAGGCACAGCACCAATTCCAGAAGAATCTGTTTGCCTGTGCTCAGCCCTGCAAAACCCACTATACTTGGCACTAATGGAGTAGCTGGTGAAACAGGAGGTTACAGAGATCTTAAGATAAGAAACCTCTGTCCCTATTCAGCATCCAAGCTCCTAATGCTTGTCACAGCAATATCCTCTCTCCTTCCACCCCCACCTATTCCCCTTCATCCTGCCCCTGTTCTCCACTACTTCCCAGAGGTTTTTTATATTGGTCATCTGCCCTGTGTTCTAGTATGTGTATCCTCACTCCTGTTTTGCCCCATTTCCAGATCATCTTTCACCTTCTGCTCTTGCTTTACTCACCCTGTCTTTCTACCACCCACTTACTCCCCCTTCACTGTACTTTTCCTCCCCTTCCTTGACTGGACACAGACAGAAAGCACCAACTAATGTCACTTGGCTCTTACCACCGGTGTCAAGGACTGGGGCAGTCCCTGGCATTCACAAGAAATGACTGCCTCAAAGATTCTACTTGGCTCTTGCAAACCCAGCAAGAAGCAAGCTGAGTACAAATACCCTCCTTAGAGAATCTAAGGGTTAGTAAGTTAGCAAACTTTAGGTGAATTCTTACAAGGAAGGCAAAAAACCACTCATGACTGCCCTAACAAAGAGTTGGTTCCTGTACTTCTATACAAAATAGTACAAGAACATTTTAACAACAACACTTTTTTCCTTAGATTTACTTCCATAAATTAAGAAATATTTTTAGCATAAACATTAAAAAAAAAAATTCTACAGCGAGCTGGTGGAAAATTTCAAAGAGCCTAGTTCATCGGAATTAAAAGAAATGGAAAATAAAACTTTCTGAAGTTTCTGATACAAGTTAATAAGCATGATTGTCTTGTACTACACTTAGAGAAACAAAAACTAAAGAGAGTTCAAGTGGTATTTATACTGTTCCCTAGTACCTCAGTGTCTGAAAGAAGCAATGTTGCAGTGTTCAAGAGTACAACATGCTTCACATCCCTCCCAAATGCTACTCCTCAAGTTGCTTCACAGAGGGCCTGGAAACTTCACGTCTGAGCATTTCTGGCAATATAAGAACACATCAACCATAGCTGGATGCCCACATGGGCAATTCAGAACACACTCACAGCCTCCCTCAAGTCAGGCTTGCAATCTACACAGATAACCAAAGGCACAGCAAGCTATTGTAAGCTCACAAATGTACATTAAAAAAAAAAAAAAAAATTAATCGCCAAACAAAAACAATACACACCCCAAGCCCAACTTTCTCCTCTTACAGCAAAAAAGCTTCATTACTTTGCTCCATAGAAAAGCTCACTCATAATCAGCTGATAAAGTACAAATAGTAACTGAAACCCACCAAAACCAGAACAGTTTGCTGGCAGTATTCTGTGAAACTATTTCTCAAATTTTTCACTGCTCCATGCTATAGGTTATCATGTGCAGAACATTTTGAGGGGGGGGGGAAAAAAAATCTTTCTATCCTCTCCCAGGTAAGGAGATAAACACATGGGTGCAGAAAGTGAACTGAGCCGTCAATGCTGTGATGTGGGTCAATCCAGGATTAATGTTCCCAACTCACATTATGTTCTATTCATGTTCCTGACTCAGTCTTGCATTTTTTCTCTTGACAAACAAAAACTAATAATGACACCAAGAAAACCAATAAAGCTGCTTGATCTCCACGTGCTTAATTTTTCTCATGTGTAAATTGCATATAATGAATTTTCAATTCATAGGTGTGGAGCTTTGCTTAGGTCAGTGGAGAAAGGGCATCATAAATCCAGACAGTTTAGAAAATGAGTAGCTATGAAGGATTCTAGGCAACGGGCAGATTTTATCGAAGTGTGAACAGTGGAACCCAACAAATGTTTTATGAGTAGTGAAGACAAAGCAGGCATTTCTGCACTTAACCCTGGTGTGAAAATGACGAGACCTGTCAGAGACAGAAGCTAGTGTTAATCCAAATGCTTATTTTCTGCAGTGACACACCAAATCCCAGACAAAACAACTCTGTATGGTGTTCTGGGTTCTAAACCACCAAAATTGGCAAGGATTGCAGGTGTGGTTGGGCACAGGTGGCTGCCTGCTCTGTTGAAAACAAAATGCCACCATACAGAGCTAAGATACAACATTCTGTTCTACGTATTTTGGAATTTAGGTGTGCAGGTTTTCCAATAAAGTGTAACTTTCCAAAAGGAACTTTACAGGAGAAAAAAAAGGTTATTTGAAAACTTGGTTTAAACCTTTGTTTACCATTTAGAAAATATTTTGGAAGTTTTCAACTGATCTTTTACTATACAATCCTAGACCAATTACATGTGAATACTGATTTATAAAAGTACATTTGTTATTCAAATATTTTCTACCAAATTTGAAATAATACACAGCACAAACACATTACAATTTTTGTATTTTTATCAGCCCATTGTTATTCCTTTCCACCAGGTATAAACACTTGTGACATGGTACAGGCTGTCTCTCCCAGCCTGGATACCAAAAATTATTTGAAACACATGAACAAATAGCAAGTTCATATGTTTTTTTTCACGTGAACATCTACTCTGGCTAAAACTGCTGGACCTCTGGGATGTATGAAGAAGACTGTCTAGTAGTAAAAACAAGAAATCTTACAGTTCAAAGCTAATATATGAATGAAACCTCTCTGTTCACCACCTGACCTGCAAGTATTCTGGTGACTGCCAGAATGAATTTGTGAATGTAAATGAATTCTGATGTTTATGGGAGAACAACTCTGAGAGACATACAAAAAGCAAAAGAACCAAGGTCACCTTTCAGAGAGGTAAACAGACAGGCTGATTATGGGATGGCCCTGCTGCATGACCTGAGTAACTCCAGGTGATACTCTATAGATGTACCCTGAGAAGCTGGAACTAAAACAGTAATTTAACTTCTGCTTGAAAATGATTCAGATTTAACTCACAAAACAGTATCTTGATTATATGCCAGTTCCTGCAAAACATCACTCTGCTCTAATGACGAGAGAAGGTATTCAGCTTTTTGCTGGAGGCATTTCTGACAGTCAACATCCCAGATTCCACAGTTATGATGCCATCATATTCTACTGACACCACAACTACACCATTCCTCCTCTCACTCATTATTTTTTAATTTTCTTCAGGATGTCTGTGGCCCTGAAAGATTAACTTCTTTTTAGTAAAAGCTAGGGCTAAGCACACAAAGGTTCGAGCCTGAGAGCTTGGCATCTGTGTCACACTTCCCCTTGTGCCAACAAACAAATTAAACAGAAGTACAGAACCTCTGAATTCCAAGTGAACCTGAAGGTATCAGCCCCAGTGTATACATAGTGGTTCTTTTTAAAAAATACAGAAACCAGCTTCCTGTTGCTTGCCTTGCCACAGCTGGAGGAAGAGGAGGGTTTTTCTACTATATTATCAGTTTTCCACAATAAACGTGTAACTTTAAACTCTTGAACAGAACAGACTGAATAAATAATTGAAATATTTTTAAATTAGCCAAAACTCATGACAATTTTTCCATTCATGGAAACCTGTACCTTTTCCATCAGAGGAAAGGGAACATTTATGAATTGCAGTCAAATACACTGCTCTTCAGATCAGTAAACTACTGCCAACGTGGATCAGAGAAATAAGATATCCTTCAAAGAATGCCTCTATAAACTGACGTGGAGGGAGTGGTGCATCAGGACGAGTACAAAATAAGCTTCATAACAATACTGACGCTTCTAAAACTGATTACAATGCACCAAAATGGAAGCGTGTGGAGGGCGTAATCAGAAGGAAACATCACTACAGAAATATTGCCCAGGCATGTAGGAATGGAAAGTCAAAACGCAGTTGGAACCGAAACTGGTGAGTGATGTGAAGAGCCACAAGAAGGGCTTCTACAGATACACTGGCAGCCAAAAGAAGAACCAAGGATATCATGGCCAACTTACTGACATAGGACATGAAAAGTGCTGATGTGCTCTACGCCTTCTTCACCTTGCTCTTTACTGGCAAGATCAGGCTTCCTGGGTTTTTGTGACTAGTGACAGGTGAGAATTTTAACTACAACAGCAGAGGTAAACCTAAATAGGGATGACATACACAAACTGGGCACTTGCAAAAATTTCGGTGGTCCTGGATGGGATGCTTCAGAGCATACACTGAGAGACAAGGCCAAAGTTATCACAAGGCTGCTCTCCATCATCTTTGAAACAGCATGTCAATCTGGTAAGGTCCTCAGTGACAGGAAGAAGGCAGATGTCACACTTGTCCTCAAAAAAAGAGAAAAAAAAGGATTCAAATAACTAAAGCCCAATCAGAATCCCCTCAGTCTGTGGGAAGGCTATAGAACAAACTCTCTTAGAAACTGTTTTGAGCTATAAAATGGACAGACCTGATTGGGCCTTGGTAAATCCTACCTTCCATAATTGAGATGACTGGCTCTTAGATGGGGAGAGCAGTAGCATGTTGTTTACATTACCTTTAACAAGGTCTCCCCCAGCATTCATGGAAGGTTTGGACTGAATGGAGTTGGAGTAACAGAAAAAAGAATGGCAAGATAATCAGTTTTTGAGAAGAGTGGTCAACATTTCTAAGTCTAGCTAGCAGCCAATTACAAGTGACGTTCTTCAGGGGTTAGTCCCAAGAACGATACTGTTTAACAACTGCATTGTCTTGGACAGTAGAATGCAACCTTACCACTTGCAAGGATGACACCAAGATTGGGGAATTGGCCAAACGGCAGGGTTGCCATTCAGATCAAC